GTGGGACGAAAGGATGATTATTGCTCAAGACTAGTGCGTTAAATCAGCGGTGCTATCGTAGCTTTCGAGATTTTGAGTGAACATATGAAGTATAGTGGAGCCTCGGGTGACGAGCAGCCCCATCTACGAGCATTTCAGGTAACGAGCAAGTCACGAGCAAAATATTTGTTTCCACTGACGAGCTTACGCTCAGTTAACGACTTGGCAGTGCGTGTGTGTATGCCAGTGTTGAGTCTTGGTTTCAGGACATGGGTCCTCGGTCGCTTGCAGCCAATCAGCGAACTGATGCAATTCGATTGGCCACGTTTCGTAAGACAAATGTTTCACATGACGAGCTCGCTACCGGAACGGATTAAACCGAGGTACCACTGGATCACAAAGTCCAGCGAGATGCTCCATCCAAGTAAACACAAAAGAGAGTATGTAACAGGCAAAATCGGCAATGAGACAAGTATGACGACGGAAGCAACTAGGATAATTCATCAAGGTTAGTTACAGTGGAAGTTCCCCTAGTCACTGAGCCTGCGATTGTTTCCGTATAAGGTTTACTAGTCGAGACACCTATTAAAGCATATAGATTTTGATCATTCTTACAACCACATGGTTCTATCCACTGCAAACGATATACAACCAAGAACCCATGAGTTTTAAATGCTGCTGTATATCTAATAAGAGCAAATGCAAACGTGCATGAAACGGTAAGTACCTTTTTTGTCGTCACCTAAAAGCATCAGGTCTGAAGCAGAAATCACAAACACCGAGAGGGCTGCCACAAATGAGGACACTTGGGCTAAAAAAAAACAATACCAAAGATAAACAACACCTTGAAGATACGAACTGGTTTAATTGGCAAATAAATCGAATGGAAATTGTCCGTCAATGCAACAGACCATAGACACACCACGCTCACGCTACAGCCAGGAAGATAAAGAGGGATCAGAAAGCGAGGATTCAAGAGGCTCTTCGGTTCGGCATCAGACAGGTAAAAGCAATCCTAGCCGTCGGGCGGACAAAGGTAAAACAAGACAGAAGCACAAACTCACGGTTTTGGTCACGTGACTGTTCAAATTTATACTTTTCCACCGCATTTTCGTAATCCATTTGAGCCTGTCGAAGCGTCGAAATCCAGTTTTCGCTAAAAAATAGACGCATAAAAAAACACAAAACTGACGAGCCGGTGAAATACTAGAGGAAACTTGCGATTAATACTAGCGTCCAGCAGTTCATCTACTAACGGCGGCAACATCAAGTAGCTAGATCCTAGCTAGTGTCTAAACCAGTTTGACGCTGACTATCCTGCCCCAACATGAGCATGCTGTCCACTGAAAAAGTCAACCCGGGTCTGCGAATAGGAATAATTTGCTGTAACGGCAACGGTCCGGAGTCGATGACCCCTAGGAGGTGTGCATTAGGTTTTTGAATGTTGGGCCTGAACGGACGCAGGCAATCTTTACTCAAGAAAAGGGAAGAGTGACCCTACCTGCTACTACTCTGACTATGTCTCTGATGACGAATTCGCGACGGATCTCGAAACGTCAGGCGAATAAAAGTATTGTCCCAGCGATCGAGTCGTCTTCTTCTCAGAGGAAAGTGCCTCAGTCGGTGCTGATGGATTAGGTATTGTAAGAAATCAGTACGCGCCTTAAACAGGTCAGGCAGTAGGTGCGCTAGACCAACGGGTGGGGGGGGCGTATAGATCAGGACATGACAGGCGATCTCGGGTTGCGCACCCACAACAAATGCCGCACATGGGGAGGGGGCACGCTTAGGTGCAGGCTCACGCTGCGTCAGCCACCCGCGTCTGATCTCGCTTCCGATATTGTTGATCCTATTTTGAAATCGGACACCGGTGTGAGGGTGCGATAGATGCAGCACAAGCCTGCTAACACTTAAACATAAAACACGCGAAAGTCACCGACCGTGCTGTGCCACCGTGATGTGGAACATGCGGCGGATCACGTCGAAAACGACGGTCGAACTGTCCAAAGAAAACGATAACGCCCTAACGGGACTACTCGACACAGCAGAAGTAATCCTACTGGACGGCAAAATATCCATTATTAACGTCAGACGGAACTGTAAAGCCGCAGCTTTAAATTTCGGGTACCGCAGCAGGCTACTGCCAGGGAAGCTCTCTATAAATGCAACAACAACAAAAATCCTGCTTCTTCTTTTTTCTTATACAAAAGCTCAAAATAACTATGAAAGTTAATACACGCTGAAGAATTACGTCTCGCTGTTCGAGGCGGCACGTAAAAGCAGCCTGGTGGAGGGGTCAGTGGATCGGGCAATGAAGAAAGTGAGATCAGCTGTAGGTGATGGCTCAGCAAGGGAAGTCATGCTGGTGGACCTGGCTCTCAGATCGGGAGTCTTTTGAGAGTTGGTGGAGCACCTTTCAGGGTCCAGACTGGAGAGATTACTAACACTGGCGGCGAAATTACCACTGGTACGCTTCAGGGTCCTATGTGCTCGTCGTTCAACAATAAAGTCACATATGTCCATCTGGGCGAGAAAAAATAGAGGAGGAGGCAAACGGTCGGATAAGTGCATCAAAGGGAAGCGCTACACCCCAACCACAACTCAACAGTAAGATTTGAGAACGAAACTACCCAACTAGTCAAGAGTAGCACTATAAAAAAGCGATTGATCACTAAGATTTTAAAAAAACCGCGTTATTTGTAGCCGAAAAAATAAAGGCGAAAAGGAAAAAAACGCTTAGGAGGGCTCATCTGTTGATAAGCCGGTTACCTCTCTCTGGCATAGGCAACAAAACTACCCGCGCGAGAACTAGTTGGCTTGTCAACAAACAGGAATTTAACATCTGACAGCGCCATAAAACAGTTATTGCTCGTCGGGCATTGAGTGCAAGCAAATCTGTTTTGACGCCCCTCCCCCCTTTCACAGCAGTTTAGTATCCAGGAAATCTATTGACGCATCATAGGGTTTCACCGTAAAAAAACGAGTCTTTTGCGGCCATTATCGCCAGGGACGAACAGGAATATTTCCATCTCGTTTGGCAGGCACGATTGGACGCTCGAGCGGAAACTCAAGGTGAACATAGTATGAAAGACGTAAAATGTGGAAGCAATGACACGGATGGATTCCCAACATTACCTAACATTGTGGCGGCCTTCTTGGTGTCTTCGTCATGGTTCAAGTGAAGGGGGGGAGAGCTAGATTTCCTATC